ATTCTGAGAGAACCATCTATCTTTTTCATGAACAACATTGGAGCACCCCATGGAGAGATACTAGGTCTTATGAATCCCTTATCTAAAAGGTATTTCAACTGTTCTTTCAATTCGTTTAACTCAACTGGAGCCATTCTGTAAGAAGAATCGAAATGGGCTGGGTATTTGGAAGGATATCTATTCCGAAGTAGATTTCCCTTTCGGGAGGAACTCCAGGAAGTTTTTCTAGAAACACTTCTGGAAACTCATTTACTACTAGGACTGACTCAAGAGTTGGGGTTTTAGAGTTTGAATCCTTAACCCGAACAAGATGATAGATATACCCTTGGAAATCATTTTTCTAGCCTTAAGGTAAGAGATAAACCGACCCATAGGCACTGAGCTACTATCCTTCCATTCTAAGACTGACTCGTTTGGAAATTGAAACCGAACGATTCTAGTTCTACAATCGTCTGAGGCATAACAAGAATGCAACCTATCCATGCCTAGAATGATATCAAAATCTACCCTTTCTATCTCTACAAGATTTGCTGAGGTGACTTTCTGAGAGACTGTGACAGGACAATTTTTGTATACTCGTCTAGCTATCACTGGGTCACCAATTGGAGTAGAGATTGAGAAGGATTCTGAAAGAGTTTTTGGTCTGACACCGAAGATTACTGCTATATAAGGAGTTACAAAGGACAATGTACCCCCTGGATCTAACAATGCATAAACATCTAAGTGAAAGACTCGTAACGTACCAGTGACCACATCTGGAAAATCTTCCTGGTCCTAGCAAGCCTAGAGAACATACAACCTATTCTGGCGCTGAATGACACCTGTACCAGACGAATCACCTTGCTGGTACTGCTGGAGCTGTAGACTGAGTCCTATTGTTGTTACCTTCTTTTCCCTACCTGGTTGAAGGGAAATCCTCAACCTATGGCCAGACTGACCACACCTAAAACACCCTTCCTTGACTGCAAGACACTCGCTCGGATGGTTCTTACCACACTTTGGACAATTTGGGAAAGTCCTATTACCTGAATTAGTCCCCTAAGACTTAGAGCCTGATGCCATACCTTTCTGATCTTGTCGAAACCTGGGGTGTGACACCCCGTAGTCTAGTAGGACAACTATGGCTAAGTTAGAGGGAAACAAGCCAAGGGAAAAAGGCAAGGGCCAAGCTTGATAAGACACTGCCCCATCTTCATGACCACCACCACGGTCAATGGTGAGGACCACGACTCGTGGTGTGGTCCATGGTGGCTAGGGCAGGAGCTCCCTATGGGGCTGCCTTAAGTTGTCTCATCTCCACGAGCCATTTCACGGCCAGTGGTGAAGACCACCCCTCGTGAGAAGGCTCATGGTGATGCCTTCACCCCTTAGAGGCCAAACCAAGGTGGCCTAGCCACTGGAACAAGGAGCATGGGCAGGACCACGGCTAGTGGTGAGGACCATGGCTCGTGGAGCCTGCCGTGGAGCCTTGCACTAGGCTGCCCAAGTGGGAGCTTTATGGGAAATTCCAATTGAAGGGGGCATTAAGTGAGGTCATTTTGCCTAGACTTAGTACACCTATATAAGCTATTTTAACCCTTTTAACTCACCATTCAAGACATTATTTCAAAAACCCCAAAAGAATCCCAAAGTTCATCCTCTCAAATATTACTCTCTCTAGAACTTGAAGAAGAAGAAAGAGTTGGAGCTAGGGTCAAGACCAAATCTCTATTCCTCAAGATTTTGTGGGCTTTGTGATCAAGGTATGATAGCTCTTCATTGATTTCACGTAACAGGACACTTCTTGCAATACTAAGTACCAATGATCGTTAGTCAGTAATATAACCCAACTAAGTGAGTTGGGGTCAAATCCCACACGGAGTGGTACGTGCTTAAGATTCAAGAGCCAAGTACAAACATGTTCAAGTCAATCATAGGTAAAAACATTTAGGAATAAAAGCATGGTTTCAAATTAAGGGTGACACAAGTGTCAACTATGGAGGGGGGGGGGGGTTTGATTATAATTATCAACTACAACAACAAATAGCACGAAATTAACAAGTATAACGACGGATTCTTGGGATGTGATTGGATTATGGGCTAAGGTAGACAAATGGGTAATTCCAATTGATAGTAAATAGTTGCAAATCAGTGAATAAGCTAGACTTTAGTAGGGATAAACTTTATCTCAAACAGTTTACCCCGAATCAAATTGGTTTCTCTCGAACACCAATGAACAACAATTAAGAACAACCTTCGCTTTAGTCCATTTACTCTCTAGCTGAATGTGTGGAAAATCGTTTAGGATTCACTCTCTTGAGTTGAACCCATGACAACCCAATACCCACAGACCATCAAATCAGTAGTCTTGGTTTTAAAACCTCTCTCTCTCGCAATCCAAAAACACGAAGTTAGAATTGCATTTGCAACTTCAACCCTTTAAATTAAACCACAATTACTGATCGAAATCACTTTTAAACAATATTTACACTATAAATTAACAATACCCAGCAGCTAAATCAACCCATTATCACATAATCACACCCCAAGAATTGGGGTTTTAGCTAGACATCATAAAAAGATAGAAATCGTTACCAAATTGTGTTTCCATCAACTGGGTACGATTATTTTTGTCTTTACAAAGGTCAAGGTTGAAGAATTTCAAAGACCCACTTCCAATTTCTCAAAAGCGAAAATCTTCAAAGCTAAGGAAAATATTGTCTCAATACTCTCAGTTCTAGAACTTCAAAAACTGATAATTAATAAAACTTGGATATTATAAAAAACTGATACTAAACTAGAAATTTAAAAATGTATTTATCGTCGCCAAAAATATGCTGCGAAGGACCATTCGACGTAATATGTCGGGATCACCAATCCACTCAGCGATCCGCCCTTTGGTCAATTCTATCACCTTTTTGCTTTGGCCTTCAACATCTTCAAGTTCTGTAACTTTGGGCGATCTAGCACTGCATCGCGGAATCGTTCGGCGACTCGCCGATTGCTTCTTTCTATTGCTGACTTGATTTTCTCCTTCATGGCTTGGCACGTTGGAACTTTAGGCGAGATCATGGCCACTCGGCGACTCGTCCAATGGGTTAGGCGATCATCAGACCTTTTTTTTTTTTTTTTTTAGCTGCCTTGTTCCTTTTTGCTCATTTGTGTCCATGCTTTGTTCCTTAATCCAAATACCTGAAAATCAAGGATTTTATTAGTTATTGGCCCAAAATATGCATTTGAGGATACTAAATCTATTAAAATATACCCCTAAATGAGTCCAATTTGTGGACTCATCAATTAAACTTTTGCTTTTTCTCAAGTAAAACTCAAGTTTAGCAGTTCAAAAAGGATGTCTCAAACAGTGCTACACAAGATTCAATCATGATGCACATAAAAAGACTCAACTTACTCATGCAATGATCAATTGTGCACTGAAAGATTCAAGTTGTGACTCACCATTACCAAAGAATCTCAAGCTCACAATACTTGCTTCAAATGCAAGTTCAAGCTCAACAATGGTGTTCAAATGCCCTCACACAAAGGACCATTCCATATCCACACACAATGGTTCAACGATTTAAAGCTCTGGAATCAAATGTAATACTCACACTTACAAAGATGAACACAATGCATGATTTCACTCATAGGTTTGTCCTTATTTTCCAATCAACTCTTGTTTCAGCTCACTCAAGATCAAAAAGGTCTTTTCAAGGCTTGTAACGGGGCTGAGTGCAAAGGTATGGTCATTTAGCTTCAATGGCTGCAATCCTCATGAAATGTGGTGTGAACAACACTTTCTTTCCTTTTCTTCATCATTCTCATTCATGCTCACAAGTCTCCCCATTATTCAACTTCCATTGCCTGTTGGATGCCCCATTTTCTTTGCACTTTCACAACTTTAGTCCACAACTTTTTCGTTCTTTTTATTTTTCATTCTTTCTTCGTTTTCTCTTTTCTTATATGGAGGGGTTCCATTTTTCTCAAACCATGGGTCAAAGGGGACTTTCTTGCACTTCTTGATTTACCTTTTCTTTTCACCACACCCTAACTTAGGATTTTGGCCTAAGTTGGGTATTAAAACAAACCACAAATCACAAGGATTAGGGGTGATGGATAAAGAAAGGTCACAATTTCATCAAGTTTCTTCCAAGAAAAGGTTAAGGCTCAAAGGGTGTTCAAGCGGAGTTCACACACTCACAAGGTAGGCCACAAAAAGAGGTATAATGTCAAATTGTTTCGCACTCTTCAAAGTTTCCTAAGATCATATCATGAGATTGCATCACTTAGTCAATCGGACCAACGGGGCAAATTCCAGGTGTCATCACACATGGTTCACGGTAAGCTCATTACAGAAGGCATTGACACCAATGTCAAAAAAGACTCCACACTTTTGCTAGTGTGCTGTGTTCATCACAAAAGACTCAATTTGATACGTAGCTAGTCATGACGAGATGCAAAAAGTTCACATATTGTCTATGCAACTTCAATTGGCCTCATCGTAGCCGCACATTCATTTTTGTTCGATTATGAGCACTATTCAACTCATAGGTATTGATCAAAACTTGATACTCAAATTTGCAAGAGAACAACCACATTCAAGCAAAAACAAGAGGTGTCAATTTTTTTTCCGAAAGGGTCCAAAATCATTTGCAATTAAAAACAAGGATCCACAAGCTCAATCATCCAAAAATGCAGTATTAACACAATTTATAGCTCAAAACCCAAATATATACACAGAACAGTCATCACAAAAGGTCACAAAAGGTGGGCCTCACCCCACCATAAATAAAAATCATTTGTCCTCAAATGCAAGCAAAATAATATCCAAAAGTCAGAAAGTAAGACAGAGAGGGAGGTAAAGAGGGATCTTGTCTAAATAGTCGCTCAATTTGTCTGGGCATTAGTGCCCGGTATGGTGCTCAGAATTTGGGTATTAGTGCCCGGAGTCACCTCAGAAGGAATAGCAGTTGCACTAGGGTCAACCAAAGGTGTATCCACCAAAGAAGCCTGCACAACTGCATCTACATGGCCTCCTCCATGTCAGTAGGTCCCTCATACGAAGCCTCCTCAACAACCTCAAGCATCTCCTCACCCGTCTCAACTTCGGACTCTGGATCAGTTGTCTCCTCAACTCTAACCTCTTCTCCGGTGGTGGACGGAGGCATCTCTATCACATCTTGAATCTCCAGCATCCCGAAAATCATGGACATGTAGGTGGACTTCAGCTGATCCACATCACTCCTTAGTGCATCAATTGCGGACTTTAAAGCCGTCACTTCTTCGGTGGCCCCTTGGCCACACTCACACACAGCTATCCTAGCCGCAAGGCCATCAATGGTAGCGCTCAATGGTGTCACAACATCAGTCAGGACAGTCTGAATCATGCCCAGAATGGAGGCCTCAAGTTTGGCAGAACCACGATCGACAAAGTGGGCAAGTTCCCCCATCCGGAGTAATGCGGCCTAAGTGAGTGGGGTCTAGGAAACAACAGTAACTCTGGGAGACAACGTAGCAACAGAGGAACTAGGGATATCAGAAGGAACAACACTAGAAGTACCTGAAGGCTCAGGGGCCGGAGTAGGCAAGGGTGCCTCTGCAGGTAATAAGTCAGTGTCCACAACCGGGGAAGAGTCCACCGGGGTTGCCTTCTTCTTCTCCGCCTGATCCTTTAAATATTCCACCTTGATCTTCTGGATATAAGTAGGGGATATGGGAATCACTTCCACATCCTTATTTGCATCTCTAGGAACCTGATCTCGTCTGCACAGCTCAGTGATCAACATCGGATAAGGGAGGGAAGTCTGGCGCTACTTGGCCCTTATGGCTATCTCCTGCCCAACAATCATACCCAAATTTATGTGCTCTCGTGCAATGATCGCCCCAAGACAAGCTGCCCTTGTGTGGTGAAAGACGGATTCATTCTGGGATGGCATAACAGTACTATTGATAAAGCCAAACCAGTACCTCAAAGCTACATGTAGGTCCCTCTTTTTTATCAGGACCCCTGCCTCTAACCACCTTGGAGTGCCTTCACATATGAGAGAGGTGAGCCAGATTTTTATTCTCTCAAAGGGCTTAGTTTTCATCCTGTACTGGTGACCTTCAACAATGTTGTTAGTGCACTCCAAAACCTCATTTATAGTAGTGCTGTCATACAACACTTTCTTACCCCGGACAACTACATGGTCAACTAGTGTGAATGCAGCTGCCTGCTTCTTTCTTTATGGTATCAATGCTCCATAAGAAGCGTAGAACTCTCGCACCCAATTTGGGATATAAGGACCTCGGGGTCGAGTGAATAACTGGAACTTGTGTGACTTTATGCAGCTCATTATCTCCGGATACTTGTCAATGATCCCATCAGTGGATAGACGCTTCTTCTCGCTGAATGTCCTCATTCCCTCAGTCTTTAGTCTATTCATAGACTTGGGAGGAGGACCTTGTACTGGTGGTGCTAGGACCATGGCATGTGTTGTAGCTGGAGTAGGAGAAGTGGTGGCCTGAGGAGTCCTGATCCTAGACGGATCATTTATCTTTTTGGAGCGCAACTCTACCCTCTGTGCTGCTACTAACTCATCATCCTCAGAAGCTGCTGCCTGATGCTCCTGGTGCTCACCCTTACTCTAAGATGTAGTGAGGTGTGTGGCGTAGATACCGTCACTGTCGGAGCTGACCTTCGGTGATGTAGGTGCCTTGCCTTTTCGTTTGCCTTTCCCACAAGTTGTGGAAAGTTGGGTATTTTTGGCCTTGGATGCAGCTGCATCCTCATTAATTGTGATCCCCTTAGCCTTCTTTCGGAGTGACATGTTTCTCCCATCAACTTTCGATCTAGCCATGTCTGCAAAAACATCAAAACGAGTTAGAACCAATTCAAACAGATGCACAGAAAAATAGTTGCAGACAGACTCGCCGAACCAGTTGGTGAGTCACCAAATCTCTTTGGCGAGCTAGATTGGGCTAACTGAAAGGATTGGCTCAAAATTCTCAGAAAAATTTGACATGTCGGTGATGGGAAAACCTTTCGGTGAATCGCCGATAGTGTGCGGCGAGCAGGAACTAGCCCGCCGAAAGTTACAGTGCATTTAAAGAATCAGGGGCTCAGACAAAGGGTGATCAAGAAAGACTTTCGGTGAGTCACCGAGTGCTTTCGGCGACCTCAGGCTTCTCGCTGAAAGTTTTAGAACCAAACTTCAAATATAACTTGAAATTAAATGCGAGATGAGGAACTTCGGTGAACCGCCGAGTGGTTCGGTGAGCTCGACCCAGCTCGCCAAATAACCCAACGTGCCTACTTTCAACCCAACTTCTCAAATTAAATCCCGTAACCCCCAAAAACAAAATTAAATCATGCACTTATTAAATTAAGCTCAGACCCAATACATCCATTACCCCGGGATACTCAGACTTCTCCTTACTTTACCAAATTTTGCCATTTGACGACTTTTGCCCTTAAGAATGACATCAACCGTTTCATCATTGGGAAAAATACGTCATTTGGCACAAATACCGGCTACTTAGACTTTACCCGACTAGACCTAACAACATGCAAGAACAACTCCACAAATTTTAACCAATTTTAAGGCACAAAATCACGGGAATTCAATAATAAAGGCATTACGGGCAAGATTTTTGAATTTACACAGGCACACATATATGATTATGATCAGAGAGGCCCAACACACATCACTAAGATAAGATCATTGCAAATGAGTACAAAATTGCTAATAATAGACTCAGGGTTCACAAAACCAACCTCAGATGCCAAATACTCAAGATTGAAATGCTAGGCGGCAAAGTAATCCACTCCGAACACAAATCTGATGACTAAAATACTATAAAATGCAAAAAGTATGGGAAATAATGTGGGGATTGAGTTTGGGAAGATTTAAAGTGAGGGAAAGTGGAATAGTTTGAAACTTTTGAACCTTTGGCCTTAAAATCCGTCCAGTTCTCGCCCATTTGGCGACATTAATTTTGCTCGCCGACCCACTCGGTGACACGCCGAGTGGGCAGTTACCTCGCCGAGTTTTACAGGACCTCTAGTTAATGTAGGGGGTCCAAATGGCGGACCAGATCGCGATCGCCGCCCTAGTTGGCGACTCGCCAAGCTGCTCCTGGGAGCGATGAGTTTTACAGACTCCAGCTTAAAAGTGTCTTGAGTCCAACATCGGTCCAAGTCGGGTTTGCCGACCTCTTCGGTGAGTCACCGACCGGACTTTTAGCTCGCCAACCTGCTTTTTTGAAGCACCTTCCACACTTTGACCTGCACAATCAACACACCATTATTTCAAACTTTAAAATAAAGAAAATAAACTTGGGTTGCCTCCCGAGAAGCACCTTAGTTAACTTCGTGGCATGACGCAAGTCCACACTCAAACCTTATTCTTGGGTTAGCCATAGTATCACTAGGCAAATCCCCTTGCTGTCTCGGGTTCAAATGAGACCAGATATGACCCATTTGGGTCTCCAACTACTTGATCGATACTAAATGGGAGGTAATAGTCTGGCTAAGGATCGACACGTCTTCTTTCATTTCTTTCAAAATCTTGTCTGACCCCTCAACTTTGTTGATGATATGAGAAAGCATATCCTTAGACTGGCCACCTTCCGAATCCTTTGGCATTTGGCTCTCGTGGGGAGGCACATATCTATCCTTCTCCCCATATTTCCAATTGGGATTTCGATCCCCCCATTCTCGATCATGATCCTTCCAACCTTCATCCCGGTTCCAGCCTTGGTTACCACTCTTCCTCGGGTAGTTTGAACGATAACCACCACCTTGGTTGGCTAGGAAATTCACCTTTTCGCTATACAAAACCTCAAACTTTGCCTCATCAGGATTAGCACACCTGACACCCACGACATTGACACTCCGAGCACCAACTCCCATGACAATTTTGGACAAAATGTCAAGTTGTATCTTGATCTTGGCCATGTTCTGGTCCCTCTCTTGGTCTTTTTCCATTTTCTCCTTCGTCAATTTGAAAGTAAGAGGGGAGACCTGGTCTTCTTGGGTGTACCAAGCCCGATTAATAGTGGTCATGTCATCCAAGAGTTGAGCTGCTATCACATAAGGTTGCTGCATCAAAACTCCCGGAGAAAGTTGGTCAGCAACACCCTTGTTTACCGAGTCAAGGCTTCAGTAAAAATACTGCAGCAACACGTTATCAGGCAAGCCATGGATTGGGCATTGGAGCACCAACTTCTTAAATTGCAGCCAAGTTTCATGAATTGGCTCACCCTCCAGACGCTTGAAGCTATGAATGTTGTCCGAAAGGGTTATCATTTTTGAAGGAGAGAAATATCGCACATTAAATGTGGTGACCAGCTCTTCCCACAAAGTGATTGATTCACATGGCAATTCAGCCAGCCACTTACACGCTTCTCCCATCAAAGATAATGTGAACAACCTCAACCGGACCGACTCTTGGGATATATTCTTGAAGGAGAATGGTCCGCAAACATCCATGAAATTTCTAATATTCTCCTGGGGATCCTCATGAGCCAAACCACTGAACAACCCTTTCAATTGCAAGAGCTGCAACATAGTACTTGTGATATGGAACACAACATTCCCTTCTGCCGAAGGCAAGCGAATGACACCAATTCCACCCATAAGATAGGGGTCATTCACATTAGGCTCGTTGACATCGTTGAGGTTACCAATGTCATCTTGATGGCCTATTTGGCTGCCATTGCTGCCGTTCATATTCATACTTCCTGTTCCAAAACACAAACAAACAAAACAAAACTAAAACTAAGTAAGTTCAACTATGACTAACAAGAACAAAATTCAACTTAACTAAAGAATCTTAACCAACACCACTCCCCGACAGCGGAGCCATTTTGATTTCACGTATCATGACACTTCTTCCAATACTAAGTGCCAACGATCGTTAGTAAGTAATATAACCCAACTAAGTGAGTTGGAGTCGTATCCCATAAGGAGTGGTACATGCTTAAGATTGAAGAGCCATCTACTAAAATGTTCAAGTAAATCATAGGTAAAAAAATTTACGAATAAAAGCATGGTTTGAAATTAAGGGTGACACAAGTGTCAAATATGGGGGAGGGGTTTGATTGTAATTATCAACTACAACAACAAATAACACGAAATTAACAAGTATAGCGACGGGTTTTTGGGATGTGATTGGATTATGGGCTAAGGTAGACAAATAGGTAATTACAATTGCTAGTAAATAACTGTAAATCAGTGAATAAGCTAGACTTTAGTGGGGAAAACTTTCTCTCGAATAGTTTACCTCGAATTAAATTGGTTTCTCTAAAACACCAATGAGCAGCAATTAAGAATAGCCTTCACTTTAATCCATTCACTCTCTCGAGCTGAATGTGTGGAAAAGGGTTTAGGATTCACTCTCTTAAGCTGAACCCATGACAACCCAATACCCACAAACCATCAAATCAGTAGTCTTGGTTTTAAAACCTC